TGGCAGCACATCAATCTGGATACCCAGTTCTCTGTTCATGAAGAGAAGCTGCACATCTCTGTCACCCTGGACAGGTACCTTGGCTTGCCAGCATTTCTTTCCACGGTTCCTCCTTGCGAGCCTCTAATCTTGGTGCGCGTCTGCTGCCTCCCTTGGAGCAGAAGGAAAAGCATCGCGAGCAGCGGGAGGGTAGGCTGGCAGGAGTGAGTCCTGACACTTTGGGGTTAAAAGACGATGAGGAAATCATAACGACAAGTGAACAAAAAGGGGATTCGGTTTCTCTTCCTCCCGCACCTCCTCTGCGATATTCGTTATTTCCTAATGTATAATTATCTCCTATGGAGCTGGGCGCCGTCCCAACGCAGCCAGGCGGAGCTGGCCAGGAGAGCAGGTCCGGGATTAAATGTCATCTTTCCCCCCCAGTAAATGCCCGCGCGGTGAAGCCCAAGCGCAGGGCTCTGCTTCAGCTGCCTTTCTTTTTGTCTCAAAAATGTTTTAAAAAAAAAGATATGACATTATCAAAGCTTTTCATTTTCCAAAGGAAACCAGCCTCTTTTCTGTTCTGGGATGACTTGCCATTGCCAAATTTAAGCCTAAGTATGGCTGCAATCATTTTTAAAAAAAAAAGACAACACTGAAACCACGGGTTTTGAGTGACTGAAACCAATGATTTTCCAAAAAAAAAAAAAAAAAAAAAGTTAAAGTCCAGATTTTGCCTCCTTGCGCTGGTTGAGGTTGGGGGAATGAATATTCATGAGACACAGGACCTGTTTCTGGGCCAGCTCTCGGGACGGGAAGGGCGAACAGGAGCTATGCTAAGTTAACGAGCGTGCTTCCTCCTCTGTCTGGTAAGTAAAAGCAGCCAGGTGTTCTTGGCACGGGTGTAAATCAGGAGTATACCACGTCCCAGGCTTCCCAAAGGCCACGGTACCAGACATCGGGCCCTTGTCGGGAGTGGAGCAGCCGGTCGAGGGCAATGATCCAGGATGAGGGGAAGGAGACCTCCGGAGACGTGCGATGCAGGGGGAGTGAAACCGCCTCTCTCCTCTTTCTGCAGGTTGTATAAAATGGAGCTGTCCTCCTCCTCCGTCGGCCCTTTTGACGTGAGTTCAGCGGTGTGTGCCGGGAACCGCCGATGCAAATGCCACATAATAATTGTGTCCATGAATCTGAGTGCTGACGTGTCTGTATAAAATGCCTATTATTGGAATCCATCCTGGGGAGCCCAGGCCGATGCTCCTCGGTCCTAGCAGCGGCTTCCTTTTAAGAAAACCCAGCTGATGTAGCGCCATAAATCAAACCGGTATTGCGAGCTGCGTGGCTGAAGCTACAGTGACAAACTAACCGGCAAAACCATCGTGTCGTTTGCCACGAAGCATTAACGACCGGGAAGGGATCCCTCTGATGAATGCGCTCGCGCTCATCCCTGGGAGTTTGGGGCCCAATCAACCACCCTCCCCAATGCTTGCCATGCCGCTGCGATGCAAATCTCTCCTGCATCGACAGTGCGGGCACCGCAAGGTCTTGTTTCCTCGCTCCCCCAGCCCAAACCTTGACTTCAGCACGCAGCGCGGGAGGGATGCAGGTCTTACTTGGTGCTCGGATGATGTCCGTGCAGAAACGTTTTGAGCAGGACTTGCGGTTTGTCGAGGAGCTGATCTATTCGGCCTCGCTGCTCCGTGATCTCCCCCCCGTTACGTGAAATGACCACGAGTCGCGGCCAAAGGAAACATTAGAGCTGGTAGAAGAAATGGGGGTGGGAATAATCGGTCGTGGATGTCTTTTTAGACATTTTTCTTCCCCGTTTCATAGTTTTCTGCTCACCCTTGCAAGGAAAGTGCAGCGTGCTTCAGGTCTGGGCCGCTGCCTAGCGGGGGCAGTCAGGGGAGAGTTAACGAGAGCAAACGAGGCAATGTTGCTCGTGGCTGCCATGATTACAAAGCCGACTGAATAACTTCAGCTCTCTTTCAGGAGACACCACTGAAAGGATTTTTGGCGGATATTATTCAGGTTGCATACGTGCCAGCACTCAACGGTAAGGGCAACGAGATGGTTTTCATTTTGGAAGCTGCTTACCTTCTCGCAAATGCCGACCACTAGCACCTCCGGCCTCTCCTGGCAGTGGCACGGGCTCTGCTGAGGTTTGCTGGTCACAAGGAGCATCTCTGGGGAGTTGGTCCAGGGCCTGGCGTGCAAAACGGTGCTGGGCGTAGGGCTAATGTGCACCAGAAGATGGGAAAAGGAAGTCCCTCTTAGATGATTGCAAAGCACGCCCGGCAGGAGCTGTGCATGGGGAAGGGGGCACGCGAAGAGCACTGACAGCTCCTCGAGGCAGTTAACCAGGGTTTCTGCTCCCGTTCCAGCGGCGCTGCAAGAAGGGATGCCCCTGCCTTACCTGTTCGGCCTGAAATACAGCCACACCGAGATCCGCATGTCTGAGGTACGGGGCACGTGCTCTGTCCCATCCACCTGCAGCCCTGAAATAGCTCGTTACTGATGCTCGTGTTTTGTTTCTCTCATTGTCAGGGCGCCCTGGTGCTGAACGTGCGCGTCAAGTAGGTCTGACCGGGAGGAGTCGCTGCCCTAGGAGGACGAGAGAGAACGGCAAGGCCTTGTGCATTTTGCTTGCTTTTCTATTTGACATTTTGACACTACAACTAAAGTGAAAAGGCCACACGATAATTGGAGCGTGGCGTGTAACTACTGTCTCTAGTGCAATCCAATGGGTGTGCGCGTGCCCTTTTCTCCGTGCTGTATTAACCTTCCCAAGAGTTTAGAGCGGCAATGCTTTGTGGGTAACGGGCTTCCACTTTTTGTGATAAAAGATTCTCATTTCCTTCCCCGCATTGCTGTGTTGTCTCTCTTCGATCGAGGTTTTAACACTCATATGTGGCTCTTACGGTGGCTGGGGGCTCAGCACCGCCGAGCAGTTTGGGCAATGCTCTCCGACCTGGTCTGGCGCTTCTCATCCCGACCCTCTCTTCAGGAAATTCGGAGTCATTCACAAGAATCGCGAGCTCTGCTACGATTTTATCGCTGACCTGGTTGTGATGCGAGTCTAGAAAGGGTCTGGCACTTCTGAGGCCTGCTCCATACGGCGTCTGATGCCTGCAGCGACGCCAACCGGAGCGGGGTCGACCTGGGTGGTCTAATCAAAGATATCACGTCCCCCCCAAAGAACCGCGCCTGCCCATGTGTTACATGATTTTCATATGCTTTGACTGCATTTTCACCGTCCCATAAAAGTCCTGGTCTTCCAAGCTTGCAATCATCCTTTTTGAATGCCATCACTTTGCAAAGGGGTATCCTTCTTACTAAAAGTGCCCCCATAATGTCCAGATTTGCTTTAAAAGAAACCCAATAATGAAGGAAAGTGTTTTAATGAACGGGGACAGGGACTCGATAGTATAGCTTGTGGCTTTTCTCACCGTTCATGTGCAGGTGGTCATCTGGATGTTGGGGGCACCGGGGAGCAGTACAACCCCTGCAGTGCGTTGCACACCTTGGCTTGCAGCTGTATGGAAAACGAATGCCTGTTTTGGGGGCTTTTTAATCATGCAAGTGAAATCGGGCGGTACTCTGTTAGGCAGCTTTGTTCACGGTCACAGAACAGCGAGATGGTATTCCACGATTGCAACCACCTTTGCATATAATAAATATTACCTTTTGGCTTTTGCTTTCACAACAAAAACATCAATAGACCTCATTCATCCAGGAGCTGCTATAGAATTAAAAGGTTAATGTTGAAAAGGTCTTTGCACATGTTTACAAGAAATTGTCCCCAGGGGAGGGAAAAAAATAATCTACGGTAAAGCATGGAAAGGAGAAATTACTTGGCACTCTCTGCTTTCACAATAAGCATTTGCAAATACTTCAGCAGACATCATTCAGCCGGTAGCTGATGCAGAACTAAGACGGTCTTTGAAAGGGTTGTTGCAGGTGTTTGCTAACTGTCACGGAAAATGCCTGGAGAAGCAAACTATGAACACTAGTATTGTTATCCTGCCTTCATTACCAAATACAGGAGGCATTCAGTTTGTAATGCTCACAAGAAATCGTCCCCCTCAAAAAAAACCAAAGCGCTGAAGAGAGCGGCTTAGCGGTGTGGTGATGTGTCCCGGTGGGAGTTGCGGTGCCGTCTCTTCCCATTATTTTCAATGCTAAAAAATAATAATAAAAGAGAAGAGCCCTGAAGATCTTCACTATTGTCCCTGCCACAAGTAATGCAAAATCAAGTCATCTAAACTTGCATTCGCTTAGGAGGAGAAAAACTTTCAAATGACGTTTTCGTGACCTCGCAGGGGAAAAAGGGAAATCGAACTGAAAGCCCCAGGTGACACCCAGCTGCCTGGCCCCAAATCACTTGGTGCACTCCCAAATGCTGGTGCCTGACACAATGGTTACGTGTATCGCTGGGTGCGGGTGTTGGTGCTGCTGGACTGGAGCTGGAGACGTGTGAAGGACCCAGCATTAGCCGCCCGCCCCGTCTACAGATTGCTTCGCGGCGCAGGCTGTCATCTCCAGTCCGTCCTTGGAGGCTGGAGGATCCCATCCAGGGCCCTGGTCCTTGAGCTGCAAAGGGTATATCTGAAGGGTCCTTTAGTGACCTGTGGACATATTCCAGAAGTGGTGCAGCACAGAGGTCCCCTCTACTTGCTATTTTTAAGTCAGAGTGAGCATGTTTTATTCTCCCACTGTGCCCAATTCACTGATGGAGAAGGGCCCTCAAATCCTTTCTGACCAGATGCCACTCTCGGGTGGCACTGATGTCACCCAGATCGCTCTGCTGACATCGGTGCAGCCACCACGGTTCCTGCGTTTGCAATGTGTCCCTGTACGTCTGCCCCCCATCACTGCCGGCCTTCGGGCTCGTTGATCTGGATGCACGATCAGCTGGTGACGTTTGCTGCTGCTTATGTGCATCTCCGGTTTAGTTAGTCTATAAGGTGCAACGCTACCCTGCCTTCCCCATAACACTAGGCTTGGCCGGATTCGGTGGAGTGCGTGATGCCGGGGCGAGCAAGCCTACAGCACCGCGCTGACTCTGGTTTGGACTGCAACACCCAGAAACCCCAGGGGACTGGGAGCAAAAGGAGAGGAGGGGACCGAGGGCAGCTCTGGCGCTCAGCTGGCAGCAGTCCTACAGGCGTTATTTTTGTCATGCCAAGCAGTTAACTTGCACTATAAGAATAGTATACTATCATTTAATAAATTGTCTGCCCCCGTCAGCCCTAATTTTATGCAAGCCTGAACATTTTAATGAATAACACTGAAATAAATGCTTAAAAGTAAACATTGATATTACCTGTTGTAATGGGGAAAAAAATAAAAATTGAATTCTGCCAAGCCTACATAACCCTAAGGGACGTGCCGCGAGGCTGTGCTGGTGAGGTCCCCTGTGCAAGGCACAGCTGAATTATATACCATTCACATGCTCCTAACACCTCAGAACATCTTCTACCCAGGATTCCAGTCTTTCTTTTCACCCGTGAGTTTGCCATGACTGCTCTTGTGTCCTAGCTGTCTAACGCTCCTCTTTCGCGTGCTATCAGAGACAAGGAGGGCTGGGAGGGAGCTCGGGAGGTCACATCCCGTCCACCCCCTGCTCCAAGCAGGACCAGCCCCGACTGCATCATCCCGGCCACGGCTTTGTCGAGCTGGGTCTTCAAAACCCCCAAAGATGGAGAGTCCACCACCGCTCGGGAGAGCCTGCTCCAGCACTTCACCACCCTCCTGGTGAGAGTTTTCCCCAATACCCAACCTCAACTTCCCTTGCTGCGACTGGAGCCCATTGCTCCTTGTCCTGTCAGGTCTTGAATGTATCTGTCCTTAAATGTACTTTTGGGAGTTGCTTGCTGGCCCCACACTGCCTGCTGCACCTTTTGATAATTTTCCCTTTAAACAATCCCCTGTATTGCTTTCCTCCTGCGATGCTTTAACTTCTTGTTCTTTGGGCTTTGGAGAGTGTTTTTATTGGAGGACCGTGGAGCTGGGCCGCAGGCCTTGACATCCTCTTTGCTGCGTGCGAAGTGAGGGACCGCCGTAGCCCCGCCGCTGGTAGGAAGCCCAGATACAAGCATGTTGGAAAGGTGCCTTGCAAGGGAAGTGCCCGCTATTGCACAGGGCTTTGGCTACGCTCTTCTCTTGCTGATTGTTTTGATGCTTTCATAGCCTGGCGTGGACGCGATGGGGCGATAACATGAGACTGTCGTGCTGGCGTACACTTATTTTATCAAATGTCAAGATCTAGCCAGCACAGGAACCCATTGTGCTTTTGAGGTGACCGACGGATCCAGTTGATGGGACAATGACAACACTGTAAGTGCGTTGGTACCTGTGCCCCCCTCCCTTGGCTTTTAGATAATGCCCTATTCAAAGCTGGAATTAGCATGTGACAAAAGATACCTGAGCTGATCTCCTGGAAACCCGTCTTTTCACGAGAAGTTTGCACAAAGTATTAAGGCCAAGACGGTGCCCTTTTGGAAGGTCCCCTCGGTTACAGAACAACCCACGAGGCAGTCGCGTTTGTCGTCAGAAGCATCGAATGAAGAGTTTCCATCTAAGCAGTTACCCAGCCAGTGCTTGCCCCCTCCTCCAAGGACCCTCTTCACTGGGTCCCAGGGCAGGGAGCACATCGCACGGCCATGCCGGACTCCCGCCCGGACCCGGAGTCTGGCCCTAGGTGACATGCCTGTGCTCACGGGCTGCCCTGCCACCACTCGATGCACCGGGCAGGAAATCTCCGCACCGTGCTCGTCGGTGCAGGGTCTGCTTGTCCGCCATCCCCAGAGCAGAGCAGGCCAGTCAGGAAAAGGCAAGCTCCTGGAGCGCACCAGTGGCATGAAGATCCAGAAGCCAAACACGTAGCATCCCCCTGACTTTTGCACCCGAGCTGCTCACCATTAGCCCATATGCTGTATTCCCTTGCCTGTTCGGCACACGGCGAGTTGCACTGGATGGCTGAGGCAGGGACCCGGGTCTCAAAGAGACTCCGCGTTGACCGGCTCCAATGCTACCGCGGGGCCGGGCATTGGTCAAGAGGACGCGTTGCTGGGGCTCGCCCACCCCTAAAATAGGGATTTTATTTTATTTTTATATAAATGCCGTCCAGTGGAAACCCACAGAAAAATACTCGCTGCTGATTTTCTTAAAGTTTTTATACCCTTTTTGGCCATCCTTTGCATCGGTCCCTGTGTTGCCCACTGACCTGAGCAGCGAGAAGTGGCTCTGCGGGACCGGCCCCCCAGACCAGCGGATCACGGAGCTGGCCCCTGCATTTGATATATGTTGCTCAATAATTTACCTGACTTTTCACTTCTCTAAGGAAATGTTTGCACTGGATGACATCAAAACCCACACGTTATTTGTTCAACACCCAACCAATTATCTTGGCTTTCCTCAATTGCGCCATTTTCCTTGTTCTTGCCACCAATTTTTTTGTATATAAGAGGGCCCGTTGCAGAGGCCCGGCAGAAGAGGAGGACGAGGGGTTGAGATACATCTTCCTGACCAAGATCTCGGCAAGGTAAGAACAAGACGGTCCGAAGAGTAGTCTCTTAGACTTACCCTCAGTGCACCAGCGCAGGGAGACGGGTGATGTTATGCGTGGCTTTTATATGGTCCTGTTGTGTTACAGTTATTTTAAGGGTTTCATAAATAACCGTGGCTTAAATTATCTTCTCTGTAACTGTTCACTCGTGTAGCTTTACAACCAGGGCGAATGGTGCGTTTTGCTCTGTTTTGTCCTAAATGCCTTGGGAACGGACTGGGACGGTGGGAGCGATGAAGAAGTTCATTCTGCATCTTGAGAGTATCTGAGCTCTCTCTGCGTGGCCCATTCA